ACAAACTAGGTTGCATTATACGAATGTAAACGCCGCACATTACATCATAAAAAATTTATTTTTAAATAAAGCGATTTCCCCTTAAAATGAATTTTTATAATAATAAATACAAATAATATATATTTTTATAAAGGGTAATTGTTGCGAAGACTAAACTGTATTATTTATCATTTACCTTAATCCCGCTTATACTACCTCGTGCGCTGCTTCATTCCTCATGTTTTTTTTTGCTGATACATGCATACTTCTTTTATCCCAAGCCCTCTTTTTTACCTTCGGCTGGTTTTTTTTCCTGAAACAGCTCTTTAAGGACTATGAGGTTCGCCATAAAGCTGTTCTTATTATTTTTTCTGTGACGTTTTCATTTTCTTGTACATTATTTGAGCTCGTGATATTCGAAATCCTCGACGTGCTTGATGCATATTCCAGAAGAGCTTATTGGTCATTAGTAATTACTTTGACACTTGTCGACGTTATTCTCATTCTTCCTATGTATATATTTTACTTTATCGTAAAGTCCTTACGATACGTCCCACCTAATCAATCCTTGCACTGCTTTTTTTCACTTATCATGTGGGGTGTCTATATATTTCTCTTCTGGAAGGTAGGAGATTCGTTTCCCATCCAGGGTCCTCGACAGGATATTTTGATGATGGAGCAATGCATAAGCCGAGTTGGTGTCATCGGTGTCACAATAATGGCTCTCCTGTCCGGATTCGGCGCTGTTAACTATCCTTATACTTGCATGACCCTTTTCGCTCAAAAGGTTAGTGCATCTGAAATCCAAGGGGCAGAAAAACGCTTGTTACAAACAATGGACATGATACTTGTTAAAAAAAGAAAATTGGCCCAATTCAGATTTGAAGCCAAGGTGCGAATTTTGTTACTCTATTTTCCTCCCAGAAGTCTATTCTTAAATCTCATTTGCAATTTCTAATTCAGCTCGTCTTTGATAATTTATTTTACGGATTTTCAATTTGCGACCTTGTTTCTAGTCTGCTGTGAATAGCAAAGCTGGAGGTATATGGGATGTTATACGCTCGGTCGGAAGTTCGCTTTCCTTCATCGCCAACGAAAAAGCTCTAAAACAGGAGGTATTTGTCCTATAAAGGTGTTTTTCATTATAGCGATTTTGCATTTGAATTTATAGCCCAATATTGCATTGATTCATTTGAGCCTGCTTATCTTCTCATATTACCACTTTTCATATATTACTATTATACTATTTTGTTAAAACACTTAGGGTGTGCTTTTATATACTATTGCTGGATTGGATGCTGCTAATTTTACCTAGTTCGTGAATCTGATTCTTCATTCTATTTTAGTATATCTTTTATTTG